CTGCACCTGCTTCTTCTGGAAGAAAAAGAAAACGTTCGGGAGAAGTGATCAGAATCATGCAGGAACACACAGAATTGCTAAGGAGTGTTGTGGATGATACCAAGGTGCTAACAAATGAGGTTGTTACTGCCATAAGGGAACAAAATGACACCTCGAAAGAGTTTTTAAAGTTGATGAAGGTTTTAATAGATAAGATTTAGAAAATAAGTGTACATACACTCGTCGTAATAGCTATAAATCCACCACACATTGAAAAGTTTTACCCACTAACATTTTTATTATTTAATTTTTTTTTATAAAAATACATGTCTATTCTTAAGCAAAAACTGTACAAATCCACATTTCAAATAGTAGATAACTTATGCAAAAATGCATCTATATGTTCAGCTTTTTAATACTGTTTTTTAGAGAGATTTGTAGTATGCAGTTTTATAGCCTGTCAAATTTTATTAAAACAAAGTGCAAGTGTGAAGTTTCTGAAAAATTCCGCTGACTTCAGGCAATTTTTTTGTTTTCGGTTTTGGTAATTTTCCTTCATATAAAAAAATGTCAAACATACTTTGTATGGAGGAAAATACGTTACGCTGCCAGCAAAAAGAATTGCCGAAATTCAGCGGGATTTTTTAGAACTTTACACTTACACTTAATTCTACTAAAATTCAACGGGCTATAAAACTGCATATTAAAAATGTTTCTAAGAAACAATAAAAAGCTCAAAACTTAGATGTAATTTTACAGAAATTTTCTACTGTTTGAAATTTGGAATTATACAGTTTCTGATTAAAAATAGACTATATAGAAGAAAACTTAAATTAAATAATAAAAAATAGTTAGTAAAACTTGTGAATGTAGGGTGGGTTACAGTTATTAAGACGAGTGCATGTTAAAATTAATATCTTTAAAAATAAGTGAAATGACAAATGAATAGACTGAATTTTCTTTTAATTTTATAGTTATTAGATTAAGACGACTGAATATTAAAATTAATTTCTTTAAAAATAAGCGAAATGTCAAATGAATAGACTGAATTTTGTTTTAATTTTATAGTTATAAGATTAAGACGAGTGAATGTTAAAATTAATTTCTTTAAAAATAAGCCAAATGTCAGAAATGTATAGACTGAATTTTGTTTTAATTTTATAGTTATTAGATTAATAGGTTGTTATAGTTAGTAAGTAGTGTTAATGAAAAAATTGACAGAAAAAGATAGTTAATAGTAAAAAAGTGGATTAATAAAAGAATGAATGTAATGTACATAAATAAACTTTTATTTATTGCTGTTTCCGGATATAGATTAATGTTTATAGGAAACTTGTAATATTTTTGCTTACGGAAACTGCGAGCTATTGCATTTCTAATAGCGGACGCATTCACGTCATTCTCGCCGACTCTTGTAGTGTGCCTTGGCTGATTTCTAGCATTAATATCTTCTCTTGAATCTTGCATCCAACCAATAGAAACTTCGTCGTTTTCTAATTTCAAGAAGTTGTGCAAAATGCAGCACGTTCTAATTATGGTATTTATGTTTTTTGGGGCGACTTGTAAACCTCTACCTATTTTTCTGAACCGTGCTTTAAGTTGACCGAATGCATTTTCGATTAGACGACGACACCTAGATAGTTGGTAGTTAAAGGTTTTTTCTATAGACGGCTGATTCGGCGAATATGGAAACGGTTTCATCATATACCGGGAGAGGCGAAAAGCAGAATCGCCTATTAGTAGAACGGGTACATTGATGCCGCCTATGAATTTGCTATTCTGCGTAAAAATATCGGCAGTTTCATGGAATCTTTTCAATGTACTCTTTTCGAAAATGTAAGAGTCGTTGTTTCTACCAGTAGATCCAATATTTATGTAAGTAAATTTTGATCTGTAAAAAGTTTAGGCATTACATTAAATTGTTATAAAGAAATTTGAATAAAGGTTTCAATATACCGGTGGTAACAGCTCGCTAGCAAGATCACTGAATACCAACCCTTGTAGTTGTAATAGTCTGTTGCATCATCTTTTGGTGGTTGAACTTCTATGTGGCAGCCATCCACAGCTCCAAAGCATTGAGGAAACCCAGTTTGCGCGAAGCCATCAACAACTTTTCTGATTTCGTGTTGGTTTGGAGGATATGAATTAATGCAATCAGATAGATTTTCGCATACTGCTTGGCAAAAATCCAAAACAATTTCGCCAACAGTACTGCGTCCTACTCCGAAAAGACTTGCAACAGTCCTGTACTCCGCTGCAGATCCCAATGCGAATAGTGAGATAGCCACTCTTTTATGAAGTGGAATACATGGCCTCATATGAGTGTTCGCCTTTTCGATGCCTCGAACTTTTTCACAAATTCTCCGAAAAGCATTTCTATTGAGTCGAAAATTTTCTTTGAAACGATTTTCGTCCATTAAAGGAACATCACGCTCCCAAAATGTGCCGCTGCGATCCTTTAAAGAATATCGCATATTTATTGTACTAATGGAAATAAAAGATATGCTTACCAATTTCCACAGCTGCCTTTCTCTTATATGAGGAAGTGTAACAATCCCAGCTTCAAACATCGTGGTAAGGTCTATGCTTGCCAATGAATTAATTATTTTCATATTGTTGAATAATTTTAGGAGAAGAATGTTAAGTTTTTTTTTTAAATAATATGTTTTTTGCAAACAAATTAGCTGCTAATCGTATTTTTTCTCTCCTTTCCATTTTGAGCTCAAAGTTTTTGTCAAATCAGCTGATAACTAAATGCGCAGGTAGAAGAAGAAAATTTGTTATGCACAATGGTGCTGTCTGTCAGGGGTAAAAATCGTATCTGCATTTGTGCCACTTAATTCAACTTAACTCAGCCTGTCTGTCTCCGCTATAAGTTTTCAGGATTCGCTTATCCGTTTTTACCACTTTTGGCCGTTCTAGTCCAATTGTGCGACATGATCGTGATAGAGATCTGGTTCAATTTCTGTTTGTTTTATTTCACTGATAATTTGGGAGTACGGTTTGGTAGCACTGGCATATGAATTTATACACAAACCGATATTCAGACTTGTTTCAAATAAATCGCCTTTATGTTAAATATTTATGTAAGTGAATATTATTTCGTTTAAATCTACTTTTCCCCATTTAGTAGGTTTATTTTTATAATTTTGTCTTCCTCGTGATAGTAGTGTAGCACATATCAACTGTTGCACACCTACTGTAACATATCTCAATTGTAACACACATTAACTGTTCTAGCTTCAGGTAAAAAACTTATAAATGTAATATACAAAGAATATTCATTCATAATTATACTAGCAGAGAATAACTAAGAAAAAAAATGTTGCTGCAAATTTAAAATTATTACTACAGTAGTGAAAAAGTTATTGCTGCCAACTCCAATTAGAATGATCCAGACCGTTTCCGTGAGAAATGATCGTGATAATGAGTTGCAGAACCCAAGAAGACACAACTTATAGTATCCCTGCAGAAAAAAATTATCAATTGATTAAAATAACCAAATTATAGTTAGCTTTTTTGCGGGATCTATATATAAATACGCCACAAGAATATTTTGCAATCCCTTTTTTAAAGGCACCGTTCGCTCGATTTCAAAGAAACAAACACCGATTTAATCGCGATACATAGGGGGCGTGGCATCTGACATATAGACTAAAATGTGAAAACCACTATATCTCTATAACCAATTTTGCCGCGGAACTGAAAGCACAGATGCATAGATTCTAAATACCCTACTTACGGTGAAAAATGGTAGCTACTGGGAAAGAGGGCGTGGCACTTCCCGTACAAACTGAAATTCTCATATCGTTATCTCTGGAACCACTTATGCTAACGTCCTGAAATTGGACACAGCTATTTATGATATCAATAACGTACTTATGGCGAAAAGTGGTAGATTGTGGAAAAGGGGGCCTGGCACCGCCTTTGCAAATTTTCATATCGCTAATCTCTGGAACCGCCTATGCTAACGTTCTGAAATTTGACACAGCTATTTATGTAAACAATTACGTACTTATGGCGAAACGTGATAGATAATGGGAAAGGGTGTGTGACACCGCCCATGCTAACTGAAATTCTCCAATCGCTGTTCCCTGGAACCGCTTATGCCAACGTCCTGAAATTTGACACAACTACATATGCTATTAATACCGTACTTACGGCGAAAAGTAGTAGATTTCCAACGTCCTGAAATTTTACACAGCATCATATGCTATCAATACCATACTTACGGCGAAAAGTGGTGAATAATGGAAAAGGGGCAACGCCCATAAAAACCGAAATTCTCATATCGCTTATCTCTGGAACCGCTTATGCTACCGTGCTGAAATTTTACACAGCAGCTATGCTAACAATGCCGGTCTTACGGTGAAAAGTGGTAGATAATGGAAAAGGGGCGTGGCATCGCCCCACATAAACTGAAATTCTCTTATCGCTTATCGCTGAAACTGCTAATGCCAACGTCCTGAAATTTGACACAGCCACATATGATATCAATACCGTACTTATGGCGAAAAGCGGTAGGTATTGAAAAAGGGGGCGAGGCACCTCTCATACAAGCTGAACTTCTCATTTCGCTTATCTGTGTATCCGCATATGCTGACGTTCTGAAATTGTAATGAAATGGAATTTCCATATCGCTTATATCTGGAACCACTTATGATAAGGTAATGGAGTTTTATACACCTACATCTATAATATAGAATGACAAGAATCATTCAATTGGAACCATTTTCTTCCAGATTTCTAGATCGCATTGAATGATTGTTGGATCAGTGTGTTTGTCTTCCGTTGGGTGGCGCAGGGATTGAGAGTAGAGATGGGCATGGAACTAAATATTAGGTCCCGACCATCACCGGGGGCTCCGAAATCTATCTCTAAAAAAAACCCACAAGTCGTGCAAATTAATTTTAAGTAAAATAAATTGTATGAAAGATCTGGATTGCGGTTCGTTTTCGTCTCAATAAAACATAAAAAGGTAATTTTGCATACAAATTTTTAAATGAAGATTTTTTTAATTTTCGGAGGTTGCTATTTTATCGGGAGTACCGGGAGAGTATTTTGGTCCCGTTCAATATTGGTGGTAAGCAAAATTTAAAAGTGTATGAAAAAATTTCGAATTTCGGCAACTGGGCGATATTAGTTTCTATAAATAACTAACTTTTAATGACAGAACTAGCTTTAAGTGAGTTGTAAAGTCGTGCAGGAGTCATGCAGACGTTATCGGGAGTTTGCTTTCTTTACAAGATTCTATTTAAATATCCTCATACAAAAATTACTTTCAATACACTTTTTTCACAGATCCTTTTTCGGGACAAATAAAATAAGGTCGAAATTTTATATCATTTCGATGATGTCTGATCGAATTCAAATATGAGACGACCAACAAAAGGACATGTAAACAAATTAGCAAATATGTAATGTTAAATGAAATAAGTAAATAAAAAATAAAAATCAAACATCTTTTTTTAATGATAGTTTATGTCCAAAACTAGTTAGCTACAAGTTAGTTGACATCTAATGCAGTATCCACTAGTTCTCACTATTTTGCGGCCACTGCCCTTCAAAAGTAGTTAGTTATGACCTAAGGAAATAAGTAATAAAAATTTGGAACTAGTAGACTGCTGCGTAGTTAGCAACAAACTAGACTAGACTAGAAAACTAGAGTTGAAAAACTATCGATAGTGCCACCATCGATAGTTTCCATGTTTCAGAAAACAAAACCTATCATTACTCGTTGATAGTTTCCAGCAATACTATCGATAGTGTCAAACGCTACCATCGATAGTCAATATAATGTTAAAAACTGTTCCAAATTAACAGGGACGGCATCGAAAATCAAAAAACAAAATATTGAAAATATAAACACACGTAGGGCCGTTTTCTTAAGTAACTTTTAACTTTAAAATTCACTTTATGTTTAAACTAGCAGACCCGGCGAACTTCGTCCCGCCCAAAATTTTTATATATTTTATTGAAACTTTTTGGTCCAACATTTTCACCAACAATTCACGTTTACGATTTTCATTGGCACATTTGTCTGCTAAGATTAAGGTTTGTGATCATTTGCCGCTTTAAATGACCTAAGGAAAGTTCCGTATCCGTTCTTGAAATTCTCCAGTTGTGCGGCATTTCATACCACGGTTATTCGCAAAGCGAAATAAATTTTTCCTCTTCACTCCCTGGTGGCAACAATGACCCGGTTCTATAGTGAATGTCCTAGAAGCTTTACAGTATAGTAGGTGGCAATTTCAAAATGGGTGCGACTCATTGTTCTACAGAAATGCAATATACATACACTAATTTCAGACGAAATACCTTAAAAGTTTGAACGCATAATAATATTGGAAAATCACATCCATTGGGCCAATTGCAACGCAGGAGCGTTCGATATACTCAATGGTGCAACAGGTCGATTTAATCTAACCTTCACGGCCCCTTTTCTCACTTGGCTATTTTTAGTAATAGCTCGACTTCAGCACCACTTGGCAGCACGTTTTTGCAATAGTATTGCATACATATTTAAAACATTAGCCAAATCGGATCATAAATAAGATTTTTAGTAATAACTCAACTACAGCGCCAACTAAACCACCCAGAGACCCACTCAAATACACAAAAAGTTTCGTTAAAATCCGTACAACCATTTAGGAGGAGATCACTCACAAACACACCTACAGAAGAATAAAAAAAATATCATTCAAAGATAGCTAAAGGGGACGTTTGTAGGCCTCACACCCCTTTTCAAATAGCCCAAATTTTCTCCATGAGTATGGGCTTGATTTCAACTATATACATATCTCCATACGAAGTTCCAGTACTGTACCATGAATACTTTCAGAGATATGCAGTATAAAAATTCGATTTATATGGGAGGTGCCACGCCCCCCTTTCCAAGTATATCTCCATACCAAGTTCCAGAACTCTACCATGAACACTTCCAAAATAGACAGTATGAAAAATTCGGTTTGTATGGAAGATGCCACGCCCCCTTTTCCAATAGTTCCAATTTTTCTCCAAGAGTATGCGATTTATTTCGTACATCTCCATACAAAACTCTAGAACTCTACCAAAAAATTTCCAGAGACAAGCAGTATGAAAAATTCGGTTTGTATGGGAGATGTCACACCCCTTTTTACAATAGCTAAAATTTTTCTCCAAGGGTATGCGATTGATTTCGTATATCTCCATACCAATTTCCAAAACTCTACCATGCACACTTTCAGAGATATGTAGCATGAGAAATTCGGTTTGTATGGGAAGTGCCACGCCCCCTTTACATATAGATTTTTTTTCAGCCTAAAACCATCCTTGGGACACGTGCGGCAGGTGGCAGTTTCAAAAAAATCGGTTCAGCCGCTCTCGAGCCTTGCGAAAACTAACAAACGGCTTTCTAAATATATATTAGTTGAGATATATTATATATTATAATTATATTTTCACAGTATCCGTTGTTTCTGATTGGCGCAAAAAAATCTTGCCTAGTGACGAATTCGCTCCTTGATATGGTCGTTACTTAAAACTATTTATATTCGAAATTGCATGAAAATTGGAAAACAGGGATCTATAAGCTTATCCAGGCAAAAAGCTACCTACGTACCGAATTTTAAGCAAATCGGACCATAAATACGATTTCTTCGAACAGATCGGTCCCTGGTCCACTTCTCGGACAAAATGGATCATATATGCTAATATATGCTAAAAGGCTACCTACGTACCGAATTTCAAGCAAATCGGACCATAAATGCGATTTTTTGGAATAGATCGGTCCCTGGACCACTTCCCGGAAAAAATGGACCATATATCCTAATATATGCTAAAAAACTACTTACGTACTAAATTTTAAGCAAATCGGACCATAAATGAG